CACTAATGCTTCTGCTTCACCTCCCATGTAAAACAGAAACCTCCCTTGCTCTATCTCCTCCCTGACTTCTCACTTCTCACTGGAATCTGTCTCATTTTTTGTTGTGGAATGCTGTCTCAGTGTCAGGAATCAAGGAGCCCTCTCCCCGTTTCAGCCTGGGAAAGGAGAAGGGATAAATATGTTCCAAATCTCCCAAGTTGAAATTCAGAAGGAATTTCCCTAGAAAGTAAATCTAAATGGCAATAACCCAAATGAGGAAGCCACATTCAGGCCTATGAAATGTTCTCCAAGTTATAACAATAAAGAAGCTGGTCAGTGGGAGGATACGGTGAAACTGTTCTCTGATTCAAAGAAGAAACCCTCAAACTCTGGTAGTTTCAGAAAAGAGCTAGAAAGGACTTGAATGAAGACAGAGAACACTGCGTAGGTGAAAGAGCTGGCACAAGCGAAATTTCAAAGAGGAAATTGCTGTGTGTGTGTGTTTCTGTGTGTGTGTGTGTGTGTATGTTTCTGTGTGTGTGTGTGTTTCTGTTTGTGTGTTTGTGTGTGTGTGTGTGTGTGTGTGTGTGTGTGGTGTGCTGGTCACTTGGGGTGTGGGTAGGGTACAGCAATGAAAACAGTGTGATTGGAATCAAGAATGCATTTAAATGAAGACAGATATAAAATTGGGTAGCCAGTGTTAAGCCAGATTGCAGAGGCTCCTCTTGGAAAATTATAGGAATATGCACCTTGATGGGATTGACTTCTGGGTCTGGAATCCTGTTAGGTTATCCAATAGGCCTACACTCAGAGACTCAGTTCTGACCCAGGCTGTGTTCGTTCAATCTTGCACTGCTCTAAAGAAATGCCTGAGAATGGATAATTTATAAGAAAAGAGGTTTAATTGGCTCATGGTTCTTCAGGCTGTACAGTACATACTGCTGGCATCTGCTTCTGGGGAAGCCTCAGGAAGCTCACAGTCACGGAAGAAGTTGAAGTGGGGACAGGCATCTTGGATGGTGGGAGTAGGAGCAAAAGGGTGAAGGGGGAGATGTCACACATGTTTAAATAAACCGGTCTCACGAGAAGTCACTCACCAGCACAAGTGTAGTACCAAGGGGATGGTACTAAACCATGCATGGGAAATCTGCCCCCAGAATTCAGCTTCTACCAGGTCCCACCTCCAATATTGGGGATTTTATTTATTTTTTTTTTTAGATAGAGCCTCACTGCAACCTCTGCCTCCCAGGTTCAAGTGATTCTCCTGCCTTAGCCCTGCCCCCAAGTAGCTGGGATTACAGGTACACGCCACCACACCCGGCTAATTTTTGTATTTTTAGTAGAAACAGGGTTTCATCATGTTGGCCAGACTGGTCTTGAACTCTTGACTTGAAGTGACCCACCTGCCTTTGCCTCCCAGAGTGCTGGGACAGGTGTGAGCCACTGCGCCTAGCAGGGATTATGTTACATGAGCTTCGGGTAGTGACACATGTCCAGTGGACGTTCATGCTTCTGGGACGAGACTGACTTTGCAGCCAGCTTCCAATCGTCAGGCTTTTGCCTTGTTCCTTAGTTCCAAGCGCCGCTCTTTTGCCCCAATTTTAGTATTTGGATTTCTACCTTATTCCTTCATCCTGGGTTCTTCCTGTTCAGAATCAATACGTTCCTCTGTTCCTCTCATGTTGGAATCCCTTCTCCTCCAGCTTTTCCTGCCTCCTGTTCTGCCTTATTTGAGGTTCCTATACATTGGAATCTTTCTGTGAAAGCCAGTTCCTTGCACTAATACCAGAACTCTTTCATACCCATTTCTTTCTGAAAGTACTACCTGTACTCCACCATATAGAATATCCCAATAAACAGCTTGCAACTGTGGGTGGATCTGTAACATTTCTGTTGTCTATTTGTTTCTGCTCTGCCTACTGGTTATGAGATTATATGTTATCTGGAGATAAAGTTTCATTCTGTTGCTCCTTACTTCTGAAAAGAAGATTCCATGCTCTATATTTATTTATCCCTAGGGTTTAGCATATAGAAGACACCCAGTAAACCTTCATTGAAAGGATAGAATTCATTTGCTGTCCAGGGCTTCTATAATTTGGTCCCATTCTCCCCATCCCTCTTTTCTTGTCTTTTACGCATTCACTGTATTTCAGTTCAGTTTCTCTTTGAATAGCTCTTCACATCATAGCTCATTGCCCTCCTCATCCCTCATGTAGCATCATGGCTAGTCATTATTTCCAGGTCTTTGCTCATGCTGATCCATCGCGGAAGTGATCCCTTCTCTCTTGTTCTTACATCAAGCCTTGCCTCCTTTACGAAAGGCTCATTAATTATTCTAGCCAACACTAACAACTTCACTTTTCGGTAATTGCTTCAATGTCTTAATGGGTACATGCTTAAGGAAAGGATCCCCCAGATGTTACAATATCTTTCTCCTTTGTTTCCGCTGTATCTGGGTCAATGTCAGGCAAACAGTAGAGCCCAGCTCATTACTGCAGGCTTTGGTCCCAAGCACAGAAAAGGTAGTCTCCTACCACAATGGACTTTCACACAATCTCTGTAAGGGCTCTCTGGTCTTTGATGCCTGCCTTTTTAGGCAGGGTCTTACACATAGTAGGTGTTGGAGGATCTGGAGTCAAGAGGTCCATGTTCAAATCCAGGTTCTAGCTGTGTGACTGTGGGTAAGCCACTTAACTTTTGTTAGTCTCAGGTAACTCATAAATAATAATGAAGTAATAATAGTAATTTCCCCACAGGGTTGTTAGGAGGATAAGATGCGATAATGTGTATGAGCAGAGTTTTATAAAGTGCTTGGTGAGTACTGGTTAGTTTTAAAGACTCAATAAAACATGCTTGAATGAATGTGTCAGAGCATACTCATCATTCCATGTGTGGCATCCAGATGAGGAGGCTCTAAAATTTATGACAAAATGGTTTGACAGAAAACTCACCGGATGCCAGCCACTCACCGGTGTTTGCTGTTTTGTTTCATAATGTGTTGTTTTCTAAATGTCTTTCTTCTTTATTTTAACAGTTCATGAGGGACTCTCCAGTTAACCTCGCCATCTTAACAAACGCTTAGGCTGTGCTGTTTATCTCTCTTTTTTTTTTTTTTTTGTCATTTAGGTCATTTTGCATGACCTCCCTGTCCTAAGTGAGGATCGCCACCCTCTAAGGAGTGTCTCTTTAAAAGTTGGCTTTGCTGGTCCCCTCCTCTGTGTCCTCCATGGATATGCTATGTAGGTTAATGGGGCAGGTTGACTTGCAGGGACCCCCCCCACACCTCTCCTCTGGGAACTTTCTGAACCTCCTCTTCCCTGCTGTCATTCTTATGGTAAGGATTCCAAATGGGAAGGGCCCCTGTGTTGGTGACAGCAACTGCTGAACTGCAGGTGATAACTCATTCTGGTGTGGTGTTGACGGAGGAGAAAGGCAGAGGGAGGCGTTTTCCCCAGCAGCAGGTGGCGGCCCTGCTCCAAGGGGAAGTATGTGGACAGTCTGACAGCAGCGCATACCTGGCTTAGGATGCTTTTTTTTCCCCTCCATTTATTATGACCAGCTCCAAGAATAGGGAAGAACTTGGCAGAAAAGCTCCAGAGTGCAGGCTGTGCTAGTCAGCAACTGTAGCGCTCAATTACTGGGATATTTCATTTTATTTATTTAATTACTTAACTTGTTGTTGAACTACATTGGAGGCTGTGAATGGTGGGCATGTATCAAGTTCCTACCTTTTAATCCAGTCATTTCAATTCTAAGTTGCATGTAAAAAATTAGTTATGCTGTTGTTGGTCACAGTATGTTTATAGTAGGTCAGAAAACAAACTAAGCTTCTAACAATAGAAACTTGTTTAATTAATAATGGCACATCAAAATGATGAAAGATTAGGCACTCATTAACATGACGCTTCAGAAGAATATTAAATTACATAAAAACTTTTTAAGGTATATTAACTAAAAATCAGCAAGTTACTGACATAGATTGTACAGTCTGATCTCAAGTTTATATGAGTGTGTGAGGCAGTATATTTTAGGGGCTACAAGCACATCCTTAGGAGCTAGGTTGCTTCTGACCAAATACCACCTCTACCACTTAATATGTGTGTAGCCTTGGGCAAGCCACCGGTCCGTGCCTCAGTTTCTCCATATGTTAAGTGGAGATAATAATTTTGCCAATCTAATGAGATTGCTGAGAGCTAAAATAATCCACATAACATGCTTAGAACAGTGCTGGCTCACACATTCCTGGAGTGGGTATTAGCTATTCCTATAATATAGTCATTGACAGATAACCTTCGGTCAACCGTGGGCTGCATGTAAGGTGGTGTTTCCAGGCTATTATAACAGAGCAGAGAAATTTCCATCGCCTAGTGATGCGGCCATCTCGACACGATAGGGCAATTCCTACCTTTTTCGTGTTAAGATGCACAAGTACTTACCATTGTATTACAATTGCCTGCAACATTCAGTACAGTGCCGTGCTGCACAGGTTCATAGCCTAGAAGCACTAGGCTATGCCATAACAGTATAGGTGTGCAGTAGGCTATACAAAGTAGGTTTGTGTAACTACACTCTGTGATGTTTGCACAACAACAAAATGCTCAGTGATGCATTTTTCGAATGCATAGGTGGTACATGACTGTAATTATACATGCACAAAAGGAGTTATGCTAATACTATAAGAGTGATTATCTCTGAATAGTATGATTAGGGGTTACTGAAATTTTCTTCATTGTGTGTATTTATACCTGTATATCTTCTACAATAAATACATAATACTTTTATAATATGAAAAATATAGTGAAAGTGGTTTAAAAGGGCAGTTATTAAAATATTAAAATATAGAACTTGTTTTGCAAGGAAGATATCCCACAGATAAATTAATCTAAAGTGCAAAAAGTTATATTAAGTGGTTTTTATGAATTAAAAATCCTGTTTAACCCTAAATATTCATTTGGAGAGGACATTGTTAAAAGATTGTCCTTTAGTAAGATCAGAATCTAATTTATTTTTGTTTTTATTAGATGAACTCTATTGGATGGAAGGATTCAAACAGAAAAATACTAAGAGAAGTCTGATGGAAAACTCTAGAAAATCCAAGAAGGGAGCTAGCTGGTGATGAGCAAAGCTACATGTGCTGTCTTGATAGCCATAGTGACGAATGGAGCCTCGGTACCTGAGTGAAAGAGAATGGCCTGGGCAACCTACTGAGATTTTGCCTCTACAAAAAAACAAAAAACAACAAACAAACAAAATTAGCCAGCTGTGGTGGTGTGCACCTGCAGCTCCAGCTACTCGGGAGGCTGGGGTGGGAGGATGGCTTGAACCAGGGAGTTCAAAGCTGTAGTGAGCTGTGATTGCACCACTGTACTCCAGCCTGGGTGACAGAGCAAGACCTAATCTCACACAGAAAGAAAAGAAAAGAATTTAAAACGAGAGGGGAGAATGAGAAAAGAGTCACAACTTTGATAAAGTGAAGAGCACGCTATCGGATGGGTTGGTTATGGAATGGTCGCAGTCTTGTCTAGTTTGGAATCAGACAGACCTGAGTTTAGTCCTTAACATCTACCCTTTTACTCTTCTTATTTTATTTCCCTTCCTTTCCCACTTTCTTATTCATCTGATAAAGATTCTGAGTTCTACTTTTTTCTGGTATTATGGTAAACTTTGGGAATGCAAAGTCGAATGAAATGTGTCTTGTATCTTCAAGGAGGGTTGGGCCTTGTGCTGGTGGTAGCTGACTCAGCAGACCGTCACACAAGCGTGTTGTCAGTACAGATATTCATAGGGTGCTGCAAGAGCCGGAGGACTGGTGATGAAGCCTGCTTTTGTGATGAAGTGGTTTGCGGTAAGGCACATGGTGGGTAGCTTCTGACAAAATAGGCCGTAGGCTGAGTGCTGTAGAAGCTGGAAGTGAGAGGAAACAGCGTGTATAATGTGCATAGGGTGGTACAGTAGTTTGAGGAAACACAAGGAGCTTCATCTGGTAGGAGCGATTGACGTAAATGGAGGAACAGAAAGAAAGATGGACAGAACCCAGGTCACGATGGGCCTGGGGTGCTCAGGGGAGGATGCACTGGTATTATGAAAGCACTGGATGCGACTGGGGTCTGCTCATGCCTGAACGTACTAGAGAGTGACTGATTTGGGTGAGGAAAGCTTCCTAATAATTTCTGTGTTTGGCGGTGTGATCTTGGCCAGGTAACCTTTATGAGCTCCTTTTCTGTAAAATCTATAAACTGACTATGCTAAAACCCACCTTGCTGTGCTATTGCAGAAGTGAGAGCATGTCTCTGAGGCACTGTTTGTAATACCTGTGTTTATAGTTATGATATGGTAGATAGTTCCAGAAATAAAGAGCTACTGCTTGGGAAATAAGAACGAACGTTTGGCTTGAAATAAGGTCTGTCGTTAAATCTTGGTTCTGCCACTTCCTGGCTCTGTGACCTCGAACATATCATTTGACTTCTCTGAGCTTTGTTTTTTTCCCTTATGAGATGCAAACCACGTTGACCTCACAAGATTGAGTCAGGATAGTGCTTGCTGTGGATAAACTTCCCAGTACAAATTCTTTCTTTCCAGCCGGGTGCGGTGGCTCACACCTGCAATCCCAGCACTTTGGGAGGCCGAAGTGGGCGGATCATTTGAGGTCAGAAGTTCGAGATCAGCCTGGCCAACATCATGACACCTTGTCTCTACTAAAAATACAAAAAAATTAGCTGGGCATGGTGGCATGCACCTGTAGTCCCAGCTACTTGGGAGGCTGAGGCGAATCGCTTGAACCCGGGAGGCGGAGGTTTGCAGTGAGTGGAGATCACTGCCACTGTACTCCAGCCTGGGAGACAGAGTGAGACTCCATCTAAAAAAAAAAAAAGAATTATTTCCACTACTTTTTCTCTTTCTGTAAGTCCTCCCTTCTCTTTTTATTTCCCTTTTGCAACTGCAGGCTTTTGTAAGTCACCCCTCTGCTTCATGAAGAACACACTGGGGTGGGATATCACACTGTGAAAAATACATAACTGGAATTTGAATAGTAAACCAGCAGATCGGGAGCAACATCTGGAGGGCCCATATATGCCTGGGGAGAGAAGGAGAGGTGCTGGCACGCCCACAGGGGAGTGAGAGTAAGTAAGTGTATGCACAGAGCACTTCTGGAGCACGACCCTCCCGCGATGCCTGCTGAGCCGTTACTTGAAGGTCTACACAGGTGTAGACCAAACTCGAGGCCTAAATCAAGGGCAAGTATTACCATATGTTCCCACACAGAGACTAAAAGAGAGGGCTTCTCCCAGCAAGCAGGGAGGAGGGTAGAGGTGGAAGTGAGGAGCCAGGGGAGGAAGGGAGGAAAACAGAAGAGCTGCCAATATAAAGAATTCATTAGAGAAAAGTCATGTTGTGACCTCCAAGATGAAGATGAGTGAAAATTCTTGTATGATTTAATATTCAGTGGAAATATTCCAAACCACATGTGCTCTGAGCAGGCTGCGGTCTTTCACCTTAATTTCAGGGAAGTCCTACTACCCATTACTCTTTATGTTGCTTACATAGTCTGAGCTTCTTTGTAACACGCTGGCAGGGTGTAGATGAAGAGGTTTGACTCACAGCCTGCAATTATAGAAGTATGGACAGTATGGAAGAACAGGGAGCCTGGCTGACCATTTATGTGAGGGAGGGATGTGTCTTAGCTGAGGGCCACATGAGTCATAGAGCCTTTTCTCCTGGGACACATATGCTCCAAGTCCACATTATTTTCTATAGCTCTCTCGGGTAGTTGGATATGTCCATCGGTTTTTAAATTTAAAAAAATATTAGGATCAACATTTTTCAAAATGAATAAAATAAAATAAATAAATAAAAAATATTAGGAACATCTTCCTAAGAACAACTTTTATGAAGCTCTGATACCCTTTGAAAAACAAAACAAAAATATACTCTAAAGCCTAATATGGTAAAAAAATGTATCTGCTTGGGTTGGAAATCGGGATGCGGTCCTGAAACTCCGCCCCCTTGCTTCGCTCTGCTTATGCAGATCAGTTCCTGAAAGTGTGAAAACTATCACTGTAGTACAACCTTCAATGTGTAGCGGGGGAAATAGAGACGCTAGAGGCTTGTCCACATGCCCGTAATGAATTAAGGGCTGAAGTTAGACTGAAATCACTTTTTTTTTCCCGTATCTATCTTGGTGTATTTTCTTAGCTTTAGACTTGTAGCTATTATCTTTCAGAACAGGTGATTAAAATATTGCCATGTTTGATCAACCCAGAGACACAGGAAAAACTGAAAGAGTTTGAAGAATGCGATGCTCTCCGATCTGCAAGAGGCCTAGAGGAAGCCTTCACATCCCTTTTGCAACTACAGGCTTTTGTAAGTCAACCCTCTGCTTCATGAAGAACACCCTGGGGTGGGATATCATACTGTGAAGAATACATCACTGGAGCTTGAATAGTAAACCAGCAGATGGGGGGCAACATGTGGAGAGTCTATGCACGCCTGGGGAGAGAAGGAAAGGGGCTGGCATGCCCACAAGAGCGAGAGCAAGCGAGGGCATGAGCAGAGCACTTCTGGAGCACGGCCGTCCTCAGCCCCCACCCCCACTGTGCAAGGGGGATGCGAAATACACATCTGTTGAATTGAAATGAAAGGCTGTGGTTTTAGGAAAGAGTCCCTGGGACCCCACAGTCTCTCCAGTCTTAGACTTTCCCTGTCTCAGAGAGACTTGGACTCTGAGCAGTTTTCTCCCAGGAATGTTCTATCCTCCTGCAACAGGGCTCTGGGCTTCAGACTCAGAAAAACCTCAAATTGCTAGTTTATTATTTAGACAAGCAAATTCATGACAACTTGCATCATCTTGAAAGTACGGCAAAGTGGACCAGGGCAGAGCCTTCCTGGGATTTTTGTTGGGCTGTAAGTTTCCTTTCCAGTCAAAGAAGAATGATTAGTTTAGCACATGAATATCAGTTAAGAGTAGAAAAATGAGTGTTTGTAGATTCTTGCTGAGCTTCTGATTTTGCTGAGGCATTCACAGTCAGGTCCTTTATTTTCCCTTAAGCCTTCTGGTTCCCCTGGAAGTGTTATGCCCTGAATTATCGCAGGTTCTGCTGCCTGCTGAAATCATCATGGGTGTAATAGAGACAGTGGTACTCACCAAACATTCCATCTGCTCTTTCGCATTTACCAAATCCCTGGCACTTAGGTGGGGTCATGAGCCTAGTTCTGACCAATAAAACATAAACTGAAGTGGTGAAAAGTCTACGTGAAGTCTCTAGGCTGTCCTTCACTGACACCAGCACGTTCCAGATGGCAGAGCCCCCACCAGCCCAGAACCCCGAGTAACTTTGAGAAGCACAGCATCCTTCTTCCATGGACCTATGCTGGATATTCATCATAAATGAGACACAAACCTTTGTTATTTCAAATCACTAAGATTTCGGGGCTGATTTGTTACGCAGCATACCCTAGTTGTGACTAATCACTCAGGACTAATACAGGGATGATCGGGCTTGAAGCAAGGAAGATGTGAAGACCTGCTCTGATGAGAGCTATGCTTAGGGGTTCTCTTTAGGCAGCCCCGGGGTTTCAGGCAGTGGTGTCGTGAATGGAGCTGCCTTTCACTGGCTCGTTACCCCTGACTCTGCACGTTGTTTCCCAACTCTGCATTCAGTGACATTGCCTTGGTAACTTGTCATTGGCCATGGTAGAAGTATTTACACCATAGAAATTGTCTCATGTTATAAATCCCGGCATTGTTGTTTTTCCTGGCTAATTAGTTGTTAAATACTCTTATCAAAACATTACATCATACTCCTTAAATATATACAATTATTATTTGTGAATTAAAAATAAAATAAAATAATTATTTATAAAACCAAACAAACTGCCAGACCTCAGCAAAATTAGGACACAGGAAGAAAAGGTTTAACAGCACATCACTGATTTCAAGTCTCTGCAGAGACAGTTAAGGTGGTGGATGGAAATGAAACAGCAGGGCCCTTGGTAAATAAGACCTACTTAAGATTTGTAATTATTTCAAAATTTCTGTAGAGAAAAAATTTGGTAGACAGATAACCTACTAGGTATGTTTTTCTCCAAATCATGAAATAGGTGGTCAAAAGCTGTCTTTGCCAGAACACCCTAAATATCAGAATTTTGAGCTCATGTTTATAATTTGTATTTTTAAAATTATTATTGATACATACTAGTTGTATATATTTATGGAATACATGTAATGTTTTGATATAGACACACAATGTACAATAAGCGAAGCAAGGTAACTGGCGTACCCATCATCACGAGTATTTATTTCTTTGTGTGAGGAATGTTCTAATTCCATTCTTTTTGGTTATTTTAAAACATAGAATGTATTATTGTTAACTACAGTCACCCTATCTGTGCTACAGAACACTAGAGCTTATTCACTCTATTTAACTATGCTTTTGTATTTCTATTTAATAGCCATTTAAGCTGGAGTGAGATGATAGCAATCACCATCCTCACAGTATCCCCTACTCCCCACTACCCTTCCTATCCTCTGGGAACCACTGTTCTACTCTCCAAGAGTTCACTTTCTTTTCTAGCTCCCACATATGAGTGAGAATGTGCAATATTTGTCTTTCACTTAATGTCCTCCAGTTCCATCCACGTTGTTGCAAATGACAGGATTTCCTTCTTTTTTATGGCTGAATAATATTCCACTGTGTATATATGCCCCATTTTCTTTATCCATTCAAGCACTGATGGAACTTTAGCTTCACTCCATCCATATATTGTCTACTAAGAATAGTGCTCAATAAACATGGGGTGCAGATGTCTGTTTGATATACTGATTTCCTTTCTTTTGGCTTACACCCAGCAGTGGGATGCAGGATCATGTAGTAGTCCTATTTTTAGATTTTTGAGGAACCTCCAAACTGTTCTGCATAGTGTCTGTACTAATTTACAATCCCACGACAGTGTACAAGGGTTCTCATTTCTCTTTTGGATAAAAGCCATTTTGTTACCAGAGACTCAGGATGCTGAGGCAGGAGGACTACTTGAGATTAGAAGTTGAACACAGCCTGGGCAACAGTGAGACATTATCCCTAATTTTTTTTTTAATTAGCTGGGCATGGTAGCATGCTCCGATAGTCCTCGCTATTCAGGAGGCACAAGGGGGAGGATCATTTGAGCTCAGTAGTTTGAGGCTGTAGTGAGCCATTATCACACTACTGCACTCCAGCCTGGGCAATGTAGCAAGACTTTAGTTCAAAAACAGCCATTTTAGCTGGAGTAAGAAGACATCTCATTGTAGTTTTGATTTGCATTTGTCTGATGATAGTGATGAGCATTTTTCCATATGCCTGTTGGCCATTTGCATGTCTTCTTTTGAGAAATGTCTATTAAGATCTTTTGCTCATTTTTAAATCAGATTATTTTTCTTTTTAAATTAAGTCATCAGAACTTCTTATTAGTCATTTGTCAATTGAATTGTTTGCAAATATTTTCTCCTGTTCTGTGGGTTGTCATTTCACTCTATTGTTTTCTTTGTTTGTGCAGAATATTTTAGCCTGATATGATCCCATTTATCCATTTTTGCTTTGGTTGCCTGTGCATTTGAGGTCTTACTCAAGAAATCTTTGCCCAAACTAATGGCCCGGAGTAATTCCCCAGTGTTTTCTAATAGTAGTTTCAGGTCTTAGATTTAAGTCTTTAATACATTTTGAGTTTATTTTTATGTATGGTAACAGACAGGATTCTAGTTTCATTCTTCTGCATATCGTTGCCCAGTTTTCCAGTACCATTTATTGGAGAGACTGTCCTTTACCCAAACTATGCTTTTGGAGCCTTCGTTGAAGATAAATTCACTGTATATGTGGGATTTATTTTTGGGTTGTTTATTCTGTTCCATTGGCCTGTGTCTGTTTTTATGCCACTATCATGCTGTTTTGATTACTATAGCTTTGTAGTATAATTTGGGTATAGGTAATGTGATGCCTCCAGTTTTGTTCTTTTTCTTCAGGATGGCTTTGGGTATTCTAGCTCTTTCGTGGTTCCTTATAAATTTTAGAATTATTTTTTCTATTTTTGTGAAAAAATGTCATAGGTATTTTGATAGGGATTACACTGAATCTGTACATTGCTTCAGGTAGGAAGGGCATTTAAAAAATATTGATTCTGGGGTCCAAAGTGGCTCCTGCCGGAGGTGATGGCGCTCGCGAAGGCGAGGTCATCAATTCAAGGCTAACCTCATGAGCTCAAACTGATTGGCAAAAAAAATAATAATAATAAAATAAAAATATTGATTCTCCCAATCCATGAACATAGAAAATCTTTCCATTGTTTTGTGTCCTCTTCTATTTCCTTCATCAATGTTTTGTAGTTTTCATTGTAGAGGTCTTTCACTTACTAGGTTAAGTTTATTTCTAGGTAGTTTATTTTGTTTGTAGCTATGGTAAATGGCATGACTTTCTTGGTTTCGTTTTTAGACTTTTCACTATTGGCATATAGAAATGCTACTGATTTTTGTGTGGGCATTTTGCATCTTGTAATTTTGCTGAATTTATCAGTTTTAACAGTTTTCAGGCAGTGTCGTTAGGGTTTTCTAGAATATGATAGGATATGATAGGATTATATCATCTGCAAACAAAGATCATTTGACTTTTTCCTTTCCAAATTTTTTATTTTTATTTCCTTCTCTTGTCTAATTGTTCTGGCGAGTACTTCCAGTACTATGTTAAACCAAAGGGGTGAAAATGAGCATTCTTGCTTTATTCCAGACCTCAGAGGAAGGCTTTCAGTTTTTTTCCCATTCAATATGATACTACTTTTGGGTTTATTGTGTATGGCTTTTATCATGTTTCTGAGTTCAGTTTTTTTCTAGCTGTTGTTTTTGCACAGATCAGAGACGCCAAAACCATCTTTTACCTTATGCATCAACATCTAGCAGAATTCTGTGCCCTTCAGATTTTCAAGTGAATTAGCTGTTAAGGAAGGTTATCAGCTGTGACTAGCTGGCATGTAAATATAGAAGACACTTAATTCAGCATTCCTTTCCTTTCCAGCATTCTTTTATATTAAAAAACTTTCCATGTATCTTTCCACATTGCCACCACTTATTCTTCTTCATGAGTACAAAACTAATAGATTCAAATTTGATTTGTTGGGAGTTTGATATGAAATCTAAAGCCTAAGACCTCATTACTCATTACATGATATTTAGTGCCTTTGCTTGAGAGTTCCAAATACGAAATACCTCATTAACATTTTCACATATGAAAATAAGTACTATGTATAAGAAACTCCATGCTTTGCATACCCATGAAAACCCTCTGGCCTCGTCCTCTCTTTCTGTTAGCGACACTCTGACAGTAGTCATGGCTCTAGGAACTTCAAAGAGGACAAGTGATTCGGAGATTGGCCCGTAATGCTATGTGTACCCTCATCTCCCAAAGTAGGGACAAAAGTCTTGCTTACCTACATAGTATCACAATGTAGTAAACATTCTTCTTTCCAGCTGCACCTTTCCTTATTCAACAGGTATCTTCCCTGTTGTTTCAACTGTTGAATATGGTGGCTGTGTAGTGAGGGAGGCTTATATATGGACTTGAAGTGTCTTATGAAAACTTGATTTATTTTGTTTTATAAGGAGTTATGAAATAATTTTGACTGACATATTACATTGTTTGGCTTGAATATTAAATATCATTGGTAAATAGCTTATGTTTCATTATACTGGCAACTGCTATCTGCTAAAAATAAGATACTAGGATTTATCTTTCCAGTTTCTGTCATTCTGAGAAACAGCCTCGGCCTGACCTTATTGACTTCAGTTTCTTCATTTGTAAAATGAGGGGTTTGACCTGATGATTTATGGGGTTTCTCTCAAAACAAACTGGTTTTGATTGTACATGGATGCCATTATGCAGACACACAGGGCTAAAAGTATATTCATGGACTCATTTATGCACTACACGTTGTCTAGTATATATCAAGTACTCTGATAAGGACGGTTAATATGAGGTCCCTGACTTCAAAGAACTTACTGTTTTAGGAGGAAGACAAACAAGTAAAAAGCCAATTACAGTATGGCAGAGTACATGTTACATCCAATAGGAGTGAAGAATGGATACAAATGGTGGAGGGAGGAGGGGCACCTAACTCACTTTTTGGGGAAGAAAATAATAGAAATCAAGGAAGAAGGTGATACGTATATGTAGGGCTAGGACTGGGGCACCTCAAGAGAGACACTTATGGTACAAAATTTAAGCAGGCACTCACCTTGTTCCCAGGCCCTGAGTGTGTAATCTGAGAGGGTGCTTGAGTTTAGCCACAAGGAAGAAGATAGAATCTATTCTATAACACTATGTGCAAAAGCATAGGGAACAAGACGCAAACTTCAGGAAACTGCAAGTAATTCCATAATGTCTGGATTTGGAAGTAAAGTTAAGACTGTAGATGTGAATGATGGAAGTAAACAGGACCTCAGGTCAGGAGAAGTGTCTTATAAAATATGTTAAGGTGTTTGAACTTTACCCTTAGGTTAATGGGTATCCATCAGGGAATTTTCTTTAAAACGGAAGCAGTATGATTAGAGATGCTTTTTAAAAGAAGGTTATTGGGTATATATCCAAAGGATTATAAATCGTTCTACTATAAGGACACATGCACATGAATGTTCACTACAGCACTGTTTACAATAGCAAAGACCTGGAACCAACCCAAATGCCCATCGATGATAGACTGGACTGGGAAAATGTGGCACATATACACCATGGAATACTATGCAGCCATCAAAAACGATGAGTTCGTGTCCTTTGTAGGGACATGGATGAACCTGGAAACCATCATTCTCAGCAAACAGACATAAGAACAGAAAATCAAACACCGCATGTTCTCACTTATAGGCGGGTCTTGAACAATGAGAACACATGGACACAGGGAGGGGAGCACTACACACTGGTGTCTGTTTGGTGGAAATAGGGGAGGGACAGCAGGGGGTGGGGAGTTGGGGAGAGATAACATGGGGAGAAATGCCAGATATAGGTGAAGGGGAGGAAGGCAGCAAATCACGCTGCCATGTGTGTACCTATGCAACAATCTTGCATGTTCTTCACATGTACCCCAAAACCTAAAATGCAATAAAAAATAAAAAAAGAAATAAAAAAACAAAAAAAAATATAAAAGAAGATTCCTGTGGTAGCAGTATGGAGACAGGGATAAGGAATTAGATAGCAAAAGAGGCGGGAGGCAGAAAGACCAGTGGAGTAGGGGTGGGGATGCAGAAGCAAACCAAGTGGCCTCTAGAAGTATTTAAGAGTTGGAGCTGCCTGGGATAAAGACTGATTGAACAAGTTAGGTGTTAAGAGAGAGAGAGGAGTAGGGTGCTCAGGGTTCCTGGACTGAGAAAAGGAGGGGTGGTGGTGCTGATCACTGAAACATGGAACACAGCAGAATAAAAAGGGTTGGGACGATAGTGATGCGCTCAGGCTTCGACTTGAAGAGTTTGAATATCTGAGGGGAGAAGGCTGCTATAGAGGCTGCTGTATAGGTTGGCCCTCAGCATCGAGAGATGAATATAGAGAAGAACATGGATTTGTCAATCATCTGCCTGTAAGGGATAAGGAAAACAATGGCTATGGATGAAACTTCCCAGGGCGGGAAGGTACAGCGAGAAAGAACACTTAGTGGCTATCGAAAGCGCCATGCCACGCTTCAGTAAAACCATCACAATACAAAAGTACAGCTTTGTAAGCACCACTGGGATATTCTGGAGGACAGGATAAGGAGGGAAGCAGTGTTAGACGTAGCCAGGCTTTCTTCTGTACGAGCAGTGGTGTCATTGTGCCTTTGCTCCCATGGATTTACAGGAGTCACTAAAGCATTGGTGCTAGTTTGTGGTTAGAGACTGTTGGCTGAAGCTGCTGACCCTGTACTCTCACTGGCAGGAAGGAGCACAGTGGCCCTGTCTGCCTGGTGGCTTTGGAGAGCACATCACTGCTGATTCCTGAGGAGAGGGGGACGTTGGACACATTTAGATTTTTCTAAGTTACAAAGGCAAAAATTAGTGTCTCTTTTGGATGCCCCTGTCCAAAGCTTCACACTTGAGAGAAAATCACCTTCTCCAGGAAGTGAGTAATAAATCTCTCTCACCAATGGAAGTCACTGGTATCCTGAAACAACAATCCTCAGCTGAAAAGGAGAAACAATTAAAACATGGATTTCCTCCATGAAACTGTCTTTCTCCAAACATGTGTTTCCATTAGACGGTAGGGAGCATCGTTATGCAGACACCTCCAACTTCCTGAGGACTTGTCCAGAAACGTAATTGGCTGCGGCCAAATGACCATGTCAGACACACCCAGGGTGTGAAAACATTAGGTCGGGATCGTTGCTGGAGAGGCCCTGCTTGTAAGGCAGGCTGGATGAGCAAATCAGGCCAAGCCTACACTGACAGGGCCCATGCTTAATGTGAGGAAGCAAGAGCCAGTGTAGGGGTGGGGGCACGGCGGGTGCAAGGTGTGGTGTGTGTGTGTGTCTGTGTGTATGTGTGTCTGTGTGTGTGTGTCTGTGTGTGTGTGTGTGTCGGAGAGAGAGAGAGTGAGAGAGATAGCTGTGTTGGTTTTTGTCTTTTACCTGTGTTTTGCCCTTTGTTGGACTTTCTAACTTGTCCTCTGCCTCTGGTCTTGTTTCTTTCATGCCCATCTTTACCAGAATGGAATGCCCATAAGAACCTGCTTAAGACTTGTCAAGGGCTCCCCTGCTTCTACAGCTGTCAGTCAATATGCCCTCAATGCAGAAGAGAGCAAATACCTGCCTCCTAGGAAAGCTGGGGCAATTCTCCTCCAAAGAGGAAGCTTCTGGAAATCTCACTTTTAATGTAAAAATTCAAGAAATTCTTTGACTCATTCCATAATATATCTGTGTTTGTTTTAATAAAAATTGTTATTTTAAACTACCCATCATTGAGGAAAATGTATGTTCCAAGAGAACACACTTTGTCCCATAAATGTGTGTGCCCCACTTTGAGAAACAGGGGCCTGTGGGAACTCCGTGCACTGGCTTTCTTCTTCCTCAAATTCCACCAATTAAACCAAAGCAACTTCATACATGGAGGTGTTACAAGGAATTTTTTTATCACTAGTTGTACCTAGTAAGTTGTGTCTGGTTTATAGATGAAATTATTCTACTTGATATTTAAGTGGAGTTCAATAGAAACAGAGATTAGGGGAGAACTAGGTGGTCCTAGGCCTGATGCCTGCCCTGCCATTTTACTGGATATGTAACCTTGTGGAGCCTCAGTTTCTTCATCTATAAAATGGGGGTTATAATTCACTTTCACCAAGGAGGTGTTAAGATGATTCAATGAAATATTTGTGAAGTGTACATCATGTGCCTGACGTAGAGTAAGTGCTCAGTATAGACTGACACTAGGAATTATTTCCCATGGAAATAATTTTAGAGGTGATTCAGATAGTTATAGGCACTATGGTCACAGGTAGATATAATTGGGTTGATTATATTAGATGATTTGCGGCAGCTGAAAGAATTTTAAAAGGCTGTTTGCATTGGGCCAATGGATGCTTCAATATTATTGTCACCTAACATATGAATTAAAAAAGGATTTAGGAAGGCCGGGCGTGGTGGCTCAAGCCTGTAATCCCAGCACTTTGGGAGGCCGAGGCGGGTGGATCACGAGGTCAACAGATCGAGACCATCCTGGTCGACATGGTGAAACCCCGTCTCTACTAAAAATACAAAAATTAGCTGGGCACGGTGGCGCGTGCCTGTAATCCCAGCTACTCAGGAGGCTGAGGCAGGAGAATTGCCTGAACCCAGGAGGCGGAGGTTGCGGTGAGCTGAGATCGCGCCATTGCACTCCAGCCTGGGTAACAAGAGCGAAACTCCATCTCAAAAAAAAAAAGGATTTAGGAAAGCATTATAAATACACATTTAAGAATATTCTAGAATCATATCACTTTTGGTTGATTGAGATAGTTATGTTTATTCTGGTGATTATACTAGATATTTTGACATCCTGTGTGATACAGTTTATTTTACTAATATGTCTCTCCCCAGAGCAGAATTATCTCAAAACCTTAAGCAATGAATGTAAATAAATAGGAACATCTGGTGGAGGAGTTGAAGCAGATGTGCAGATTGAGGTACATCAAAGAAAAGCCCATTATTATCCTGGTAACTGGCTAGTGCTGCATGATATAAACAACTTAAAGAAATTGAATTAGTGGTTCAGCGATGTCAATTCATCTCAGAAGAGAGCCTAAAAGCAATAAATATTATCACAGCAATAAATGATTACAAAGTGTATAGTTAATGTTGATACTCGTATGCTAGAGAACGGTTTCCTAAAATGTGACAATAAGAGCATCTTTCTGAGATTTTCTCACATAGCATTGCACATACTTGATAGGTTGTGTCTGAACGCACAGGTTACACGTGGTGACTGACACTTTGTGTGCCATTACATGGGACTGCAGTGTTAGAAGGATCAAGCAACATGCCACTTTTTAATGCAGAGGGCAGAGGATTGGCCTCATTCCAAGAACGGTTCTATTTGATGTTGTATAAGAAGCTGGTCTTCAAGACTGAGTTCAGAAAATGGGACAGAATCATAACAAGACTTCAGATTCGTTGATAATCAATCATATATGAATTTTCTTTGACATGTTGCAAGGTAGGAAAGAATAGTGTGCCAACCGCTGTAAGTAATTTCTCTATGATATTTTTGTTAACTTTTATGGATTCTTTCTTTCTGAAGTACAGGCAAGTTAAGCAACAAATATGTAGGTGTGATAAGTCTTTCTCCCGGTGATTTTACAGGTGTCGAAGGCCAAAACCCTGAACTCTGGGTAGGTTGAGAATTACATTCAAATGCACTGAACCTTCACTGTAAGGAAAATAAAAGCGTGAATCCTGCAAGCTGAGTGTCATGGGGCCGGCAAAAAGATTCTAAAACACCTCCTTCAGATGTCACAAACTAACTGGGAAGGCTGAGTCCAGTTCTAGAAAGTGTTAAGTAATATAGTTACAACTCAAGTAAATTTGGAGTGCCTAGAGCCCCAGTTCAGCAGCTTAAAACTCCACAAATATCACTGTAAAAACCAGCGAAATGTAATAACAAGCTTTCCGACCGGGCGCAGTGGCTCAAGCCTGTAATCCCAGCACTTTGGGAGGCCGAGGCGGGTGGATCACGAGGTCAACAGATCGAGACCATCCTGGTCAACATGGTGAAACCCCGTCTCTACTAAAAATACAAAAAATTAGCTGGGCATGGTGGCGCGTGCCTGTAATCCCAGCTACTCAGGAGGCTGAGGCAGGAGAATTGCCTGAACCCAGGAGGCGGAGGTTGCGGTGAGCCGAGATCGCACCATTGCACTCCAGCCTGGGTAACAAGAGTGAAACTCTGTCTTAAAAAATAAAACAACAACAAAAACAAAAAACAAACAAACGAACAAAAAACAAAAAAACAAGCTTTCCCTGAAGGTCTCTTTAACCGGCAGCAAAGGAGAAATTTCCTGATAATTAGAAAATTTTTGAAAAGTTCCTTTGCTTATTACTACCAAATTCTAGACAAACTGGATTTCCTATTTAACTCACTATCATCCCCTTTTTTGCAACTGCTTTCCCCTACTTTTTGGATTTTTTCCTCTTATTGTCAGAATATAGTAGTGCTTTTTCCTATGTAGCTTAGTCTACAGCATTCTCTCTCCTTTTCAAGTTCTTCATCTTGTCGTGTTACTCTGCTCAGCACATTAGGACTCAACAGGCAGGCCGGGTAACAAAGAATCCTCCTTAGAAGGGAAAGGAAGGAAAATGTTGCAAATACTTAGAGATTTTTGTGCTTATTGACAAGATATAAATGCTATTTATTAAAGCAATAGAATTGCCACAAAGTCTCATTGAATAACCACTAAATGGGTGGCCTGGGCAGGCAGTAAGAAAAGCAGTTTTTCACTTTCAGCCATGGTGACCAAGAGAGACTTGATGGGGAAGGTAAAGAGCAAATAGAACTTAAATTGGTGAAGAGAAAAGTCTAAGGAATTTCGTAGGCAATCAAATATTTTAAGAATGTGTCCTAAGCTTTACAAATATAACCTCCTTGAAGGCAGAAGAATTTGAAAAACCCTTGGTCAATATAGCAGAAAATAAATATTTGTGGAATAATATAATTTGTAGGATGTATAATCTGTGGAAGGTATAATCAGCTTTTTAAATAATGATGAGGTGTTTTACCTGAGGATCTCAGCAAACTGACACAAGAACAGAAAGCCAAACACTGCATGTTCTCACTCATAGGTGGGTGTTGAACAATGAGAACACGTGGACACAGGGAGAGGAGCATTACACATGGGGCAGTCGGAGGGGGTAGAGGAGAGACATTGGGGGATGGGGAGGGATAACAGGCGGAGAAATGCCAGATATAGTATGCACCTAAAGTTAAATAAATAAATTTATATATTTTTAAAAATGTTTTACTATTACAAACTCTTAAGCAACTATCCTGTGCCAATTTAAAATATTTGAAAACTGGAAGCCGGATTCAAGATGGCCGATCACTAACATCTCGGGATTGCAGCTCCCAGTGAAAGCGCAGAGAACGAGAGGATGCCACACTTTCAGACAAATTTTGGTCGCTCACAGAGCAGAAGATTCCCAGTGGAGGAGCCGCACGGGTCACCAGCGCAACTCTTGTGGCCGGCGCAGCGGTTTTGCTGGCACCTCGGCGCGGCAGCTCTTGGTGCAGAGTAAACGGGACTGGTCCCCCTTCTGACCGAGGTTTGGAGCTCCGGGAAGGCAGAGTTGCCTATTACGGACTCAAGAAGGAAGCCAGACTGGAGATTCCCGGGCAGAAAAGCACCATCAGTCTTAAGGCCGCTGTTTTGGCCAGCGCAGTGGGTTGCTCATATTTCGGCCCTGGGAATTAACAACTTGGATGTCCACTCAGAGATTTAATCTGAAAGTTGGTAATTACAAAGACGACAGGTGGATAAATTTACAATGATGGGAAGAAACCAGCATAAAAAGGCTGAGAATACTCAAAATCAGAATGCCTCTCCCTCTACAGAGGATCACAATTCCTCATCAACAAGGGAACAAGGTTTGATGGAGAACGAGTGCATCCCATTAACAGAATCAGGCTTCAGAAGATGGATAATACGAAACTTCGGTGAGTTAAAAGAACATGTTGCAGCCCAATGTAAAGAAACTAAGAACTTTGAAAAAAGGTTTGATGAAATCCTAATGAGAATAGACAACTTAGAGAGGAATATAAGTGAATTAATTGAACTGAAGAATATAATATGGGAACTCTGAGAAGTATGCACAGGTTTAAACACTCGAATTGTTCAAGCAGAAGAAAGGATATCAGAGGTCGAAGTCCAACTTAATGAAATAAAACGAGAAGACAAGATTAGAGAAAAAAGGATAAGAAGGAATCAGCAAAGTCTCCAAGAAATGTGGGACTATGTGAAAAGACCAAATTTACATTTGATAGGTGTACCTGAATGTGACGGAGAGAGTGAATCCTAGCTGGAAAATATTCTTCAGGATATTATTCAGGAAAATTTTCCTAAACTAGCAAAACAGGATAATATTCAACCCCAGGTAATACAAAGAACACCACAAAGATATTCCTCAAGAAGAGCAACCCCAAGGCACATAATCATTAGATTCACCCGGGTTGAAACAAAGGAGAAATTACTAAGGGCAGCCACAGAGAAAGGTCAGGTTACCCACAAAGGGAAGCCTATCAGACTTACAGCAGATCTCTCAGCAGAAACTCTACAAGCCAGAAGAGAGTGGGGGCCAATATTCAACATCCTTAAAGAACAGAACTTTCAGCCCAGAATTTCATATCCAGCCAAACTAAGCTTCACAACTGAAGGAAAAATAAAATC